ACATGTACGAGCAACAGCTCGAAAAGACTGTACAACTAGTGCTCATCTAGCAGTGAGGAAATTCCATTCCTCATCCACTAAAATGCCAAAGGCATGAGAACTTAATTCTCTATTTCGTTTAATACTTTCTTCATTTGTCAAACTAAACAAGCACATTCGAAATAACTTTTGCATGCTCAGTATGTCATCTATCAAGGTAGCTAGCCTACTGTTAGAGGGGCTGTTGTACTTTATCTGTCTCATAAGGTCCTGGCTTTGAAACTAGATCGTGATTCTACTCCACTGATGCTCTAATGCCTTGCACAAGACCAGATGGATAGCCACTGCTTCATCTATGACTTTGTCCCCCTTACTTCGCTCTTTAAGTGTCCATTCTGCAATCCTAGTACTTGGGTACTTTATCGCTATAACTCCAATCCCCAGTGAGACCTGGCCTTTTTGGCTTGTTGTAGCCACGTCCAGCTTTATGGTACCCTCTTCATTATAACCCTAATAGTGCTCTTCCTGATGGAAAGATGTTTCTCTTGTGCTCAGGCTAGTTTTGCCTTTCATAATTTCCTCTTGCTCCAGCCACTTTTTTTGAGCTTTGACAATTGTCTGAGCTGGAGAGCAGCTGGTCTTGTTTTCAAATTCCTTCTAATTTCTTTCTTTCCACAACTGCCATAAGATATTCGCAGTCAAGCCAATATGCTCCATCCCTCCTTGCCTATTCCTTGCTTTTGAAATTCTGATCCACCACCTTTTGAAGTCCCTTTTTTGATCAATAGCACCGTCCCATTGTATTGGAGCTGCCTTTCATACCTGCTGCGTGTGTTGACAGTTTAGCATTAAGTGTTCCACTGTTTCCTAGTCTTCTCCAAATAATCTGCACACTGGATCTCCCAATCTTGTTTTCCTAAATATTGCTGCTCTTACTGGCAGTGCCCCTGTTACGCATTTCCAGATGAAGATCTTCACTTTATGTTTGATGTTGAGCTTCCACAAGGTGTTCCACATTTGTCGAACTTGCTGACCTTCTTCTGTGATGCTTGGACCAACTGCCTCTGGTGCTATCTGCTTGGCATTGGTACTCTCCTTCATTATACATTTATAGCTTGAGCTGACAGTATGGATTCCTCCTGCGTTGTGTTGCCAATAGTAGTTGTCCTCCCTCCCCATCAAACTTAAGGGAATATTCAGGATCTTCTCAGCATCGCTTTGAATAAAATGCTGAAAAATGGTGTTCCTCTTCCATCTATGATGGCTTATTAGCTCATGCACCATCTTCAAGTTGCAGCTTTGAGGTCCAAGAGAGGCTGGCCTACCTGAATTGGAACCTGGAATCCACCTATGGCCCCAGATGCTCGTACTTTTCCCGTTACCAATTCTTCTGATCACCCCTTTCTCGATTAAGCTTCTAGCTCCTAACAGTTCTTGCCATATCCAAGAAGCATTCTTGTGAGGCTTGCAAGTTAGTATTAAGTCCTTTGGGAAGTATCTTGCTCTCAGCACTTTACTAATGAAAAGGTTTGGTTTGGTGAGAATTCTCCATATCTGCTTACCCAGTAATGCTTTATTGTAAGCTTCAATGTCCTTAAAACCCAATCCTCCTGTATTCCTCTTCATTGACATTTTCTTCCAAGATACCCAATGCAATTTGTTTTTCCCATTTACTTCCCCCCACCAGTAGTTAGCCATCAGTGAGCTTATGTCTTTACATAGCTTTCTTGGCAGCTTGAACACAGACATGGCGTAAGTTGGCATTGCCATTGAGACTGCCTTAAGCATTACTTCCTTGCTCGCTGTGCTCAGCAACTTGTTCCTCCAGTCTTGAATCTTTCTCTTAATGTTTTCCTTTATGAACCCAAAGATCTGCTCTTTTGTCCTAGAGATCACCATAGGCAGTCCTAGATACTTACCTTGTTTCATCTCTATCATTCCTCCCAGTGAGCTGCACACAACTTGTCTTTGTTCCATGGGCATATTTTTACTAAAGAAGACAGATGACTTCTCCAAGTTGATCAACTAACCTGAGGCCTTCTCATACTTTTTGAGAATCTTCATGATTTCATTGGCCTGCTGTTTGTTTGCTTTGCAAAAAATGAGGGAGTCGTCTGCAAAGAAAATGTGAGTGATGATTGGTCCTTGTCTACTTATCCTCAGCCTTTTTATATCATTTCTCTCTTCAGTTTTCTTCAACAAATTTAAGAACCCTTCTGAGCAAATTAAGAACAAGTAAGGGGACAGTGGGTCTCCTTATCTTATTCCCCTTTCAGGAGTTACAAAACCTTTATTTTCCCCATTACAATTGAATGAATATGTTACAGTCTTTAAACAGCTAGTTATCCACGTAATCCATTGTGCACAAAAGCCTATCTTTTGCATCATTGCCTGTAAGAAATGCCACTCCACTCTATCATATGCTTTGGCCATGTCTAACTTGATTGCTATGTAACCTTCTTTTCCTTGCCTTTTGTTTTTGAGGTAATGCATGTACTCATGAGCTAAGATTACATCGTCTAAAATTTGTCTGTCTGGGACGAAAGCAGATTGTGTGTTACTTATGCACTTGTTTAGAACAAGCTTCAGTCTGTTGGCCAAAATTTTGGAAATGGTTTTGTATATGACACTACACAGGCTGATGGGTCTAAAATTTTTCACAGTTGTTGGATTCAAGATTTTTGGGATAAGAGAAATGATAGTATGATTTATGGATTTTAGCATGAAACTTGAGCTAAAGAAAGACTGAATTGCTGGAACCAAATCTCCTTTGATAGTACTCTAAAAACATTGGAAGAATAAAGGGGTCATGCCATCTTGGCCTGGAGCTTTATCAGGCTGCATAGAGAAGAGAGCTACTTTGATTTCTTCTTCCTTAACTGACTTAGTTAAATTGGTGTTCATTTCCTGAGTTATAGAGTGGGGGATACCCTCTAACATCTCGGTCATATCTCTCCTCCCTCCACTAGAAAACAACTCACTGAAGAAGTTAGATATTTCTGTGGTTACTTCCTCTTCATTCGCTGTCCAAGAGCCATCATCCCTTTGCAGATTTCTAATCTTATTCCTGGTTCTTCTCCCATTGACATATACATGAAAGTACCTTGTATTTTTATCCCCATCCCTTAACCATTCGATCCTTGTTTTTTGACACCAGAATTGCTCTTTCTTTTTGTATGCCTCCTTCAGTTGGTTCTTGATCTCAGCAGTAACCTCTTTTTTGTTAACAGGATTCGAACCTCTCACAGCTTCCAGCTCTTTCCCTAGTTCCTTAATCTGTCTTTTTTAATTTGCTTGGAAAGTGTTTCTCCACTTCAAAAGATCTATCCTACAATTTATAATCTTCTTAGTAATCCTGAACATTCTTGAACCAGGCTCTTCCAACTGCCAAGCTTTCTCCACAACTTGTTGGCACCCTTCCCTTTGTAGCCAAGGTTTATCAAAATAGAACTTCTTTTTCCTTTTTTCCTTATGTGGCTCAGTGTCTAAAAAGAGCATAATATGGCAGAGGCATAAGTGTCCAGCTGTTGACATCTTGTCTTATCAAAAATCTGGACCTAATCATAGCTAGCTAGACATCTATCTAGCCTCTGTCTGATTTCTCCATCTTCTTCCCAGTTGTTACTCTAAGTCCAAGGATGTCCTTCATAGTCTAAATCTATCAAATTATTCTGGTCTATAAAGTCCTTGAAGTCCTTAAAGCTTCTCTCCTCTCTGAGATTTCCACTCCATTTTTCATCATTTGACACTATGTCATTGAAATCTCCTGCAATCAAGAATCTATCTCCCTACAACCTACTTCTATTTCTCAACACTCTCCATTGTTCCTTCCTAATCTGAGTATCACAACTCGCACAAATCCCTACAAACCACCAGTTACAATGATACTCATGATCCTCTATTCTGACCTCTATGGTGAAAGCAGTCTGATTAACTTCAATGATCTTAGTGTCCTCTTTCCACATCACAGCCATACCACCTGCCTTGTGCATTGCTTCCACTACAACACTATTATCAAATCTTAACCCTCTAGCAATCCTATCTACCACTAGTTTCCTGTTCTTAGTCTCACTCAAGAAGATCAAACTTGGAGAGAGGAGGTTATTAACCTTCCTTAGATGGGGAACTGTCAAGGGGCTCCCCACTCCTTGACAGTTCCATACCAAAGCCCTCATTTCCTTTGGGGGGCCCCATTAGGGAAGGACTCCACGTCCACCTCAGTCATAGCTGTGTATCTCACAATCTACAGAGGCTTAGCTCGTTTGCCTGATATCTCTTGCAGATGTACATCCTCCATATCCTCATTATGTAGCTGAACCTTTCTTTTCCCCCTTCATTCAATGATAATATCCTGATCATTCCTCTCTTTCAGAGCCCTTTTTGTTTTCATTGGGGACTTCAGCTTCTTATAAGACCTTTTTACTTGCTTGTTTATAGCTTCTTGAATCTTAGCAATACCTTGGGCCTCTCCCTGCCTCCCTGCCATTTGAACTGGAATCTCTGGTAATCTATTCTCCTGTTCCAGCCACCTTGTGCAGACTTCTCTGTCCTCCTCCATATTCTCCATTTCAACTAAAGATAGATTCTCCTCTATATTCTCCTGTGCTAGAAGAGGAAATTCAAGATTCTCCTTGTTCGAGGGTTGGGGAGTTTCCCTACTTACTTGTTCCCTTCGACTAGTTTCCACATTAATAGAGGGACCACTATGATTTTGTAGGACCTCCTTTTCACCCTCCTGATCTTTCGTAAACTCTTGGGTACTTCTATTTCCTAGCCCTGAGGTTCTAAGTGCCTCCAGAAGCACCTCTCCGGATTGGATCCTACTCTTCTCTCTCTCCACCATTTCTCCATTCTGAAACTTCCAGTATTTTTTATCCTTCACCGTATCATCCCTTTCCTACTCTTTCCTTAGAAGGGCTTCTGTTAATTCCAGCACGTATCCATGGGTCGTATTGGTTCTCTAGAAGACCTCCTGGAACAGTTATGTGTTCTTTGCAAGTCTGTTCCCCATGTCCTACTATCTACACCAATGTTCCTCTGAGCAGGGTTTTTGACAGATGAACATGTACCAAAACTTTCAAGTGCCTACCTTCTTTTCCCCCTCCCTGAGGGATAACAACGTCCTTTATATCTTTAAACACTGCTCCTATTTTCCTGCCCACCTCTTTGGAGAGCCAATGCACAGGAAGGTTCCAAATCTGAACCCATAAAGGAGCAGTAACAAAGGCACCATAATTCTCTTCTATCCCTTCTGACCATCTGTTCAGCACTAAGATTTGATTATTCATTAACCAAGGACCCCCTGTCACTATTCTTTCTTTATCTTCTTGGTTTGGGATATTAAATTGGAACAAGTTTGGTCCCAATTCCATGATTGTCAGATTCTTGGTGTAACTCCAAGCTGCGGTCACAAAATTCTTCACCCCCGTGAAGTTAGCTATTTTCTCACCCATGATTCTTCCTATCAGGCTTCCTTTACAGTCCTTCACTCCACTGCTCAGGTCCTCCAACTCCAGTTTAGCTCCAGAGATCTCATTCCCCTCCAGCAAAAATCTTTGTAATAATTCAGTTAACTCTCCCTCCATAGATATATCCTGAGAAGCTAGCGGGTATACTCTTTCTGAACTTAGAATTTAACCTTTTCAACTACCAGCCAAGTTGTAGTAGAAGAGAAAGACATAAAGAGTAGCTAAGAAGTGAAGATGCGAAAAAAAATCGGGGACAAACGAGTACGTCTAGACCGAAACTATCACAGTAAATGGGACCAGCCAGGCTTACGACAAGAGAAACGGATTAAACAGACAAACAATAAACGCTGTAAAACTAATGCACATGTACAGACCCTACCTCAGAAACGGGAGCAAGGGAAAAGAGATAATCAAGTTGTACCTTGCTTTCAGCTGTTCATAAAGTGTAGGACTTTGACTACCTTGTGTTCCCCCTTGAGAGACATCCTTAAAGTTCCATGAGTACGGTGGTTTAAGCTGCATTAATCTATCCTTGGTTACAGAACCAGATTGGTAGTGATGATGGCTGGGATATTGTGGGAAGAAAGTACGGGATAGTGTGAATTTTGAAAAAGTTTGAAAATTTCTGAAACTCCCACCGAAGAGAGGTTGGCTCTTACCCCAAGAGAGAGCTTCCTTTACACTAGAGAGAGGATTTCAGTAAAACTCCTTGTTCGTTCATTCTTCTTCTTCTTTTATTGCTTCTTTGCTTGATTCGTCTTGCCAAGATTAGTCCATTTTCTCTTCGATTGAGCTCTCCACCTATTAAAAGAACATATGATCAAAATTAAGATGTTTCTATTCAAATTGTAGCTCAACTATCACTATTAACTAGTAATTTGTATATATAACGATAATACAATTCACGTTCTATAAAAAATATTGCTTTTTCCATATAAAGGTGAAGGGTCATGTTGCCAGGAATAAGATACTTTCACTTAGAAATGATGAAGGTGATATTGTTAAGGACTATGAGCAAGTTCAAGAAATTGCAGTAGAATTTTGTAAGACTCTGTTCAGTAAATCTAACTCTCAGTACCCTGATTTGAAGGGCAAACTGCAACAAATAAACATTAAAACCGTCACTAGTGATCAATTCGATCACTTACTCCAAGCTAGTGTGTTGGCTGAAGAGATTAAACATGCTATGTTTACCATGAAAGTTGGCAAAGCTACAAGCCAAGACGGCTTTAATGCACTTTAAAAAAAAAAAAAGAATTGGCATGTAATTGGTGATAAAGTAATTCGAGCCGTGTTCAATTTTGTTTTGATAAGAAATATATGTATTATCCTTTGAGTAGCAGTATAATTACACCAATCCCAACGGTGCAAAATACAACACAAATGAGGGATTTCAAGCCTATAGCCTGTTGTAGTTTACTATATAAATGCTATTCAAAAGTGCAAACTAATAGGTTGAAAGCTGTAATTCCTCGAATCATTGGTGAGTATTAGAGTACTTTTATAATAGGAAGAAGTATAGCTGATAATATACTACTAATGCATGAATTGGTGAGAGGGTACAGCTCGTGAATTAGTGAGAGTGAAGGAACAAGGACCATTTCGAGTTAGAAACTGGAGTGTTCCTCCGCTCCTCTGAGAAAACCCACAAAAAATCTAGGAAAAATAGATTCTATCATATTAAAAACAGACTTAGGAGGAGTAGCTGCAGCTAGGACTTGAATAGGAAAGGATGAAAGCACGTCCCTGATCAAGAGCGGCCTGTCACTATGATAAATGAATTTACAGAGTCACAATGGCTTGACATGACGTTCCAAAAAAGGAAATTTTGCTACGGCTAGCATATGGTTGACAACCCAAACATCTCACTGGAAAATATTTTCTTTTTGAAGCAATCTCACTGGAAAATCTTGATAAGAATACCCAGTGATGCTTTTGATTACTCGCCGTCTTGCCACATACAACCGTTGATGGGTCAAGAAAAAACTATTACTTATGTTAACTTGCTGGCCTGAACAGTTTTCATATTTATGAAGAACATCCAAAATATACTTCAAAGAAGAATGAGTACCACTTGAGAAAACCAAAGTGTCATCGGCATGTCTTACACCCAATATATCAACTAATCTTTCATTTCCTTTTAAGGTTTGGATTCATTTTAAGTAATACTTAACTAGTAAGATTTTATAACTAGTCATGAATATAGTATCTAGTTGATATATAAAATTTAATGATTGGAACTTGCTTGCAATCAACAAAGAAACTGATAAGTCGCAATTGTGTCATTTATTTTGTAATTAAATCTCTCATATTATATTACCAAGTGTGCATTAATTAGCGGATTCCACTCACTTTTGGAAATTTGTATTGATTGCAGGAGTTGGAACAAAATGGGGTAAAAATGTGCAAATTCTCCACTACAATTACTATTTGGTGTAGGGACGTCAAGTCAAACCTTAACATGTCCAGAAAATGCGGGACAAGCGCGAGACACCAATTGCCAATTGGAAGTACAACGTGGGACTGCAAATATTCCATTAGCTTATTGTTAGATTTGAATTGGAAAAGATAGTTTAGCAAAAATAGGAAACGGGCCAATTAGGAGACTTTCTACTTTTTGTGGCTTCGATTGAATAGGAGAGTGAAGTTAATTGAGATTGGGACTCTCTTTTCCTAATACTCACTGGAGTAGCCGTATAGGAGTGGACAATTAGGTAGGAAATAGAGGGGAATTGGAGAAAAAGTAGCAGACATTCTTGACCACTTTGGATTTTGACTTTTGGCATATTATTCTTGTGACTTATTCCATCGGATTACTACTCTCAATTGAGAGGCAACGTACGCAACAATTACTTTTGCAATTTCGCGTGGGTTTTCCTCATCAGGGATGAACTAAATCCCTTCTTCTAGTCAAGGAACAATAGAGGTTTTGGTTCATCTAAAATTTGTGAGATCGAATTAATTTTATTTATTCATCTTATTTACTGGTATTTGCATATTCTCTGTTTATAATGTTTATGGTTGTTTTGTTAATTAAATATCTTGGGCCCGGACGTTGAATTAATTTAGCAACTTGCTGTCAATTAGAGCGTTAAATCCGTAATTATTTAATTGCTCTAAAATAGTGACAACTGGCATGATTGGGTTTGTGTCAGTGGAATACGCGGGCTAATCTAAAATAACTCTGTTAGTGCATTATTTGATTATAATAGGACTCCTCTAATACGTAAGGCAATTGAAAAATTAAATCTTACGGGCGTACCTAAGATTATTTCTCAATTAGACCAGTGATTAACGGGCATACCTTAATCACCGACACAGTAAGGAAGGGTTGACTGTCATCGCTTGTTTGGCAATTATAACCTATTTATTAGTAAATAATTGAAATTGTCTTTTGTATCGATGATCAATTAGGTGAACTATTACTGAAGTTATTTCTTGGCTAGATCTTTAGTTATTATTACTCTGATTTTAGTAATTTGTCATTTAATCTTTTGTTGGTTATTTATTTTTATTCAAATCATTTACTTATTGCCATTGCTATAAAAAAATCCCCCATTGTTACTTTGAACATCAAAAAGAGACAAATATTTCCAATCCCTGAGAATACGACCCTACTTGCCTTATTTACAAATCAATAATTATTTGTGAATGAGCCATCCCATTCGGATATATCGTATTAAGCAAACTTTTCGGGAATAGGGTGAATCAAGTAACCCATTGCACACCTAAAGTCCCTACTCCAGTACTTAGAATCGGGTTTTGATTATTTTAATTAGCAACTATTATTGCACAGGTTTGACACCTGTCAATTTTTGGTGCCGTTGCCAGAGACTGACGTCAGTATTTGTTTCTTTTAAATTCATTTTTGTTTTAATTTTCTGGTATTTTTCTAGTGTATGGCTCGTTCTTCTTATACAGGTGAATTGATTTTTGACCCTGAGGTAGAGAAGATCACGCGAAGAACGCGAAAAGAGATCAGACAGCTCAGAGAGAAGCAATCTAGTGCTGCATCTCATAGACTTGATCCGGAAGTTGAAGCAACAAGTCCGTTTGGTAATACTTCAAGTGATTCGGATTGAGAAGAAGTGACTATGGCTAATGCACAAACACTAAGGGAGTTGGCTGCACCTGATTTAAATCAGCAGCTCTTATGTATTATTTTTTCACATTTAAATGATAACACGTCTTTTGAGTTAAAATTTGGTCTAATTCATATCTTACCATCTTTCTATAGTTTACTAGGTGAGAAGTCTTACAAGCACTTGCAAGAGTTTGATGTCATTTGCAATAGCATGAAACCCTCGGGGATTACAGAAGAACAGATAAAATGAGAGCATTCCCCTTCTCCTTGAAGGATTTCGTAAAAGATTGGTTGTACTACCTTCCACCAGGTAGCATCACCACATGAGACCAGCTGAAGAAAAAATTTTTAGACAAATATTTTCCTGCATATAAGTGAACAATTGTTCATCTAATATTTTTACGAGAGACTATTTTTCAGAAACGGGAGTATAATTGATACTGCAAATGGAGGGACATTCGTGAACAAGACTCCTCGAGAAACGTGGGAACTAATTGAAGGAATGGCTGAGAATTCGCAGCAGTTTGGTATGAGGGGGGATGTCCTGACACGCAAAGTGAATGAGGTGGAGATATTTTCTATCCAACAGCAGTTGATTGAGTTAACATCGTTTGTTAGATAATTGGCTGTAGGAACTGTATCACAAGTCAAAGTGTGTGGGATTTACACTGCTATGGGTTATTCTACAGAGATGTGCCCAATGATTCAAGAAAAAAATTATGAGTAAGTGAACATGGCTGGTCACGCGCCTGCGCAAAAAAAAACAATATGACCCGTATTCGAATACGTACAATCCGGGTTGGAGAGATCATCCTAACTTCTGTTATGGAGGAAATATGCAGTCAAATTTCGCACCAAATAGGCCGCAAGGGTATCAACAACAGTATCAACCTCACCCGCCACCACCCCCTTCAAACTCAAGTCCGTCTATAGAGGAGATGATGAAGCAATTAATTACTAATCAACAAAAGACAGATTCTGGTCTACAAAGTATGAGGAATCAATTGGGATAGATGCAAGCAATGCAGAGTCA